CTTTATTTTTTCGCACGTTCTCTCCATCATTTTTTTCTGTGGTTCCATTCTTATGCCTCACTCCCACTCAATGAACCCATTCGTCAGCCGCCAGACCGACCCTCTCATTTTACGCGCGCGCTCTATCGCCCCTGTGGAATGCCAGGCCAGCGGGAGGCGGGGCAGCGATTGGGTGGCGAGCGCCCGGCATTCTGTCGGCTTCGCGCGTGCTTGCGCCCACGGATCGCATCCTCCCCCCTCCCTCGTCTCCTCCTCCGCATCCATCTCTTCCGCCGCCGACGTTACTATTGCCAACTACGTATACATTCTCGGCTTATTGCTCCATACCGCCCGTACCGCCCGATCCCGTCATTGCTACCGCCTCCCTATAAACTCCATGATCACGTGGTTTTCATTTTGATCCTCGTTCTACTCCTCCTTGTCTCGTCATCGTTGTTCTGCTCTTGCACCTCGGCCTTTGCGGCCAATTCCTTGTCTTCCTCCTCATCAGCATCATCTACCGTCTTCGTCTCAAGATTCTGTCTTCCCCTCCGTCTCTATCATCTCCTCTTCCTGTCTGTCCACTCTCGAATTCGTACCTACCCGCTTTTCGTATCTTCTGCATGTATCGTAGTGCAAGGAATATTCACTTTTATTGCTCTATATCTGCACTACCACCCCGCCTTCCTCCTATACCGCATCTGCCACCACCACCTCCTCTATCAACTCCGACTCCATCTCAAGCACCTCCGCCCAATCGACCTCAAGCGCCACGAGCTCACCTCTGACCTGGATCCACCAACTTCACTACTTCTACGATACCTGCCGCTCTGACCCCTGCTTCACCTCGTCTCGACCTCTGCCTCCACCACCGCTGCCGCGAGGTTACCTTCGCCTCCAGCACTTCCACCCCGCCTCCGCCTCCTTCTCCGCCTCCGCCAACGGAAGTCGCGCCGCGCGTTTCCGCTCGCCCGCGCGCGAAGAGCCGCCCTTTGTGCCGCTGCGATTCGGAGAAAGGGCTGCCGAGCAGGGCCACGTGCGGGCGAAAGAATATCCTTCACGACGCGACGAATTTGTCGGCGCGATGGTGTAATGCTTAGCGTATCGGACTGTTATAACCAAGTTGGCGGGTTCAAACCCGATCGACGCCGTGGGGCGAAAAAAATCCTTCGTACGCCTTCCTTGGGAGGGGAAGTAAAGCCGGCTGTCACATATTAGTAGATTTACATTTAAAGATGAGCCTAAACGAAGCCTTTGAGTTAAATTCAAATCGCCTGTTCGTCGCCCAAGAATTACCTCCTTTCTCCGCTAGTTGGAGAATGGAGCTTAGGGATATTTGCGTGGTCAGACGGAAGAGCGGACCTGATGAACCGAGTCTCGCCACGTAAAAAAAGGCATTAATTCAATTCATTCTAGTAATGGCAAATTTTATCAAAACTCCTATATTTCGATACATCACCAAAAAGTTTTGGATGTCGATGAAATCGACAAATATCATCCACATTTAAAGTATCAATGTTCTAAATATGATAAATCATTTTATTTCATTTTTTTGAACACAAATTATTTTCCCATCCTGGTTTCATATTTTCTTAGAGTACTTAAATAAAGTAAGTTGCCTGAATATTTTATTGTTTGGCCACGTATAAGTAACATGTTCATAATAATGTTTATCGACTGTAAAGAAGCAAATACAAAAATAAAGGACATCGTGTTTTGCTATTAATTTTAAAAGCTCACCTTCATTCGTAAAACATCGAAGTAAAAACATCCTGTATCTTATATACGTAATGCGTATATATTAGTTTAAAGTATATTCTGCCTTAAAAAAACTCTGCCACCTTAATTTTCTAATCAGTTTCCTATACAGATAAGAATCAAAAAGCAATATTACCAATGTACAAAATTATAAAGAAAGATAACTTCTTTTTACACATCGATGTTTCTGGAAAATACTATATTGATCTGGAAAAAAATGGAAAACAATATCTCGATCTTAATATTTCGATGTTTGTAGTGGGAAATATTGATGTTTTAAAGACACCGATGTGTTTTTAACATCCCTAGTCGTATCGCCTCAGCGCCACATGGCGGCGCGTGGGTCGGCGACGCGGAAAATGCTTTTAGCGTATTAGATAAACTCCCCGGCGAAATGACTTGTCTGTTTTCTATTTTTACGGCTGACGCGCAGTAAATGTGGACTTCGTCGTGGCCGCATTTGCATTTTCGTTTAGCCCTTGAACGAATTTTTTTAAAAGTGATAACCGTAGTAGACTTGCTCGGTTGTTCGTGAAAGCTAATTGACAATCTTTTGCCTAAATTACTTACGCGCGTATTTTTAGTGCATATCCCTAAAGTATGAATTTTCCTGGTTACCTAGCAGAGTTATTATTAACTCAAGTTTCCTATGAATATTTCGTAAATATACTTAAAAATTTGACGCTCCCAATCAAATGACACAAAATACGGGACCTTAGAAACTGTATATAAAACTAGTAGATTCTGCTTACACAACGAGGAATTTAGTGCTTATTGGAACAAGATTTATCCACTTAATGTCACGACCTCACAGTAAGATTTGTTTGGTCGCAAAATCGCTTTTTTTTTTGTTGCAGCATTACAATACTTTCTCTATACTACGTAAGCAATACGCGAGAAAGTAACATCCAACGTTTCCGCCTTCAGTGGGGCTAACAAATTTCGTAAATCTGTTAAACGAAGACCTTTTGTTTGAGAATTTCCCACGATTTATTTTCCCTAGAGATGTTTCGAGTGCGTCAAAACATCAGTGATTCTTCTCCTGGGAAGTAGGTTTATTCAGCCACCGCAACATTGTGAGTTGGGAAGGAAGAGCTCAAACGATTCTCGTAAACTTCAGACTGCCGCAGCTTCTTTCTCTCTTGAGCCTCCTTTCTGCTCTGCAGTGAATCGCGAGGGTAAATGGGTTAGAGGCGTGTGAACTACGACCTGACAATTAGTAACAACTCGTTGGGCGATTTGAGAAATAAGCTGCCATTTATTGTTGCCTCTCCCGAAGAAAGTTTTCCTTCTTTAGCATTTGTCGTGACTTTGTTCCCACAGGGATGCAACGTGTCGAGATAAATTTATTACTCGAGTTACACGGTGAACTTTGACTACACACCTAGCTCGCCTGTAGTCTGTTGTGTACATCGACCTTTTCTGTCTCTTGCCTTTCCTTTTTGGCACGTTACCCAGAGCAACGAGCTGGCTATATCTCAGTAAAATAATTTACGTCTGATACTGGATGCTTGCAATCTGCTACGTAGCCAGCTGTTCCCGCACGTATATATCTCGAGCGTCCTGCAGTTGTTGTTTTTTTCTAGAAAAATATTTATATCTTATCCTAACATTTGTTTCAGTAAATGGATTTGTATGTTAGGTAGGTTGCATGCGTAAATCTACCAGACAACGTGAAAAATTCCCTTATGAAGTTTAGCTACATACCTGCTATAACGGTGAACATGAGAGAACGGGACCTTTAGTAGTAAAGTTACAAAAAGAAGGAGCTCGCGAGAATTTATTGCGGTACGCCTTTTCAACTCGTTGGGGAGGACGACACAGGAGCCACCTGATGAGGTCTGGTCCTAAGGCTGGCTGCACCCTTGCCCTACCCGACCCACGCAGGGCCACAAAAGAAACCAGACCGCGTTCTAAACTGCTCTCTCTAAGTTGTTTTTTTCTTTTCCTTTTTTTTAATTTTTGGTTTTTACAGCTTCAAAGTAGTGAAGTTCAGAACCTATTTATTTCATTTATTACATTCAGTTCTACACCAAAAACGTGCGCACTGCGGAAATCTCCCTAATGTGGATACAAATCTTTGTCCTGGCAAACGTAAATTGTATAGTAATGAACGATCCAAAATCTTGTCTAATGCGGAAAAAAATACTGGCCCTCAAGCACGATTTACTGTAGTACAACTAGGCAGAGATGGCCAAAATGTTTAGATCGCCTTTAAGAACACAAGAGCTGCAGGTATTGTGTTTGTAGAAATACAAAAAATAAGAGCAATACCAGTTTCGAGGTGTTCATAAATATAACTCTGGGTATTTCAAGAATACTTTATTTCAAGTTAAGAATAACTTCATTAGTAGTCGTAGGAATAAAATTGGAAGCAGCCAACACTATCTGTTGAACTGCGGCAATTTCATTGAGCATTTTTCTAACCATAACTTATAAATGCAAAACATTTTGAAAGGTTTTATCACTTAAATCAAAAATGTTCACAGTTTGATCTTGTTTTCGCCGATTGCATAATATAACTATATGGCGGTCAACATTTAAAACTTTACCATTAGAAAGAGAAAAGGGCACATAACAGCATAGTGTCGTATAATAAAGTAAGCTCTGAAGCATCCGTCACACATTTAGCGTACAGATCGAGTGTATAAATAGTACTCTCAAATAAATGTACTGAATTACGTGATTTACTTGTGAATATAGCAGTATTGTTCAATTGTCAAATTTGTGAGGTCTCCTATGCCATTCCATTCCATTAAATAGCTTCTTGAGAAATAGGTGATCCGTTTCTGATCTTAATTTCAGTACCTAAAAGAAATATTTCCAGTTATTACGAATAAGGATGGTTAAACGTTATTATTGTCCAATACAGTATGGAATATAAACGAAAATTGTCAAGATTCCCTCCCTCCAGTGCTTTTAGAAGATACTACTTCTCAATTTATAAATGTCGCTAATTGGAAAGTGACACAGAGAAACACTGTTTAAAAATGCGATTAATTTTCTTGCCAATTGGATATATCGAGCACCTTTAGTATGATTTTACAGAAATTTGTATTCATTTAGTACCATAACGATACAAAGTATTACATTTTATAGATACTTATACGGGTTACCGTTGCTGACGACTCTTGTACTTTGGGACACGACAATTGAAATTGTTGTGAAAGTTAAAATTGAGCAAAAAATATGTATTTTCGATACACAATCGTAAAGAAAAAAGGAGAAATCTGGAAGGAAAAGAGAAGAGAGGAAAGGTTTAGAAGAAGAAGAAGAAGAAGAAGAAGAAGAAGAAGAAGAAGAAGAAGAAGAAGAAGAAGAAGAAAAGAAATGTGCGGAAAGAGTAAACATATTCCAGAGACGATACCGAATTTTACGTTTGGTAATCATTAGCACGGGTTAAGATGTCACCTTCAGCGGGCATGGGTCCCTTTACCCCCGTGTAGTCGTATCTGGCGCTCTCGGCCGCTGCAGAGCCTCGACCGCGGCTGGCGTCGTCGAGATCTTCGGCGAGGCGGCGCTCTCTTTGTAGCGCCTCGGACGCATAAATTCGGTTTTGACACCAGGGCAAAACGAGTGGAGAAGCAGGGCGGGCTCTTTGGGAGCTTCGTGAGATCGCCTTTATTTATGGCTCCTAATCCCCAGGGTTTCTTTTTTGCCGGCGCAGTTATTTACCAAACTTAGAAGTCGTATTTGACACTCGCAATTATTGCTGGAATTTGTGCGCCCGGATGTTAACAGATTCTTATGCGGTGTCGGGGAGATTTTTTGATCGGTTTTTCATGTGCAGGTAATGAAAATATTATTCCTGTAAATTCGTTTTTTTGTGAAGCAACTGTATTTTCGGTTTTCACGGGAGGTTTAAAAAGCATGTGATGGCATTTCTAAGGTTGGAATTTGATATGAAATAGTTGCTCTGAAGGAGATTGTGGGCTGAATGACAGACATTGCAGTTAGTAGAAATTATTTGTAAAACTGGAGAATAACGGGATCCCAAAACCGGATTCGACGCTTACATTCTAAAAGAAATCAATATGATTTTTGAAAGATTCCCTTGCACTACATACCGATAGTAAACGCAGGTATGGACGTACCTGTATTTGGCGTACTCCGTGAAATATTTTGTATCGTTAATTCTAGAAAAACAATACTTTCTTTCAGAAAGTATCCTTAAAAGGAACAACATGATAACTGCATTAATAATGTAATTCAGACATTGATGCGCTTTATTATTTCCCGGTTTTTTGTAAAAAAAATTTCACCGTTATGAAATTTGTGTAGTTACGGATAGCGGCCACATCTGAATGAATTTAACACGGCAGATCTGTTTAGGTTTGTGTTTTTGGTACATTTCCTATTAATATGTGAACAAATTTTAAAGAAATTATGAAATGTTTTAGAGCATATTTGACCATTAAGTGTTTAATTTAATATATAATCTCGATTTTCGTAATTTTTATAATGTATCTATCAATGATAAACATACATCTCAGACGGTCCATTCAGAAGTCATTAAATTTTCATTTATTCCTGTAGGTTTAGTTGTGCAATAGCTTTCCTTGATACACCTATCAATATGCAAATTATCAAATAAATTATGGAGTAACGAAAACCTAACATTGAACTAAATACACATTTTTTATTACATTTGAGGGCTCAATGATCCGTTTTACGAGTGCATCGAATGTAATAATATCGAAGAAATGCAGAGTCAACTTCGACCAATTGCATAGGGAGGGACATGGAGGACCTAACAACATTTAGACTTACATTCGTTTCGTAACTTTGCTCAGTTTTAACAATTAGTGCTACATAATGACCGCATGACATCACAAGGAATATTATAATTAATAATAAATATTTTAAATCTCATGCTAATATTTTTTTTATATTTGAAAAATATTTATTAGGGGGTTTGTTTCCTAAATGAAAATATTCTCTCCGGCCTGATAACGTTTTGCATTCGCCTATGAATGATCAACTAATGACTTCTTTAGTTATTTAAAATATCTGTTCATTTTATGTATTCCTACTGATAAGGAATGTATTAAATTGAATTAATGCTTTATTTTACGTGGCGAGACTCGGGCTATCAGGCCCGCTCTTCCGTCTGTCCACGCAAATTTCGTTACGCTTCTTTCACCCACAAGCGACGAACGGAGGTATTTCTTGGGCGACGAAACAGTCGATTTGAATTTAGCTTGGAGGCGTGATTTAGGCTTGAGGATCTTTCACATGCAAGTAAATCTACTAACATGGGACGACCTACTGTACTTCCCCTCCTAAGGAAGGCGTACGAAGGATTTTTTCGCCCTTAAAAATCCACGGCTTCAATCGTATTTCAACCCGCCAACTTGGGTCTAACTGTCCGATATGCTAACCATTACACCACCGCCGCTTGCAAATTGTAACTAAGATTGTCTAAACTTCGTAGTTATTGCATTGAAAAAAAGGAACCTTCTAGTTTCATTTTCTGAGTGGCGTGCACATTGATTCTCGAGAAGAATTGTAATTCATTTCATGGATGTCAAATGAATTAACCCGAAGATTCATTTGGGTGGTGCAGGCTTGCTTCTTAAGCGAGAGTCGCCTTGTCTTTCCCAGTTGAGCTTGATGCGGATGTGATCTCGTGGCTAATTAATTTAATGGCGCTGTAACATTTTAGCTGGTTGACCGATACGTCAGGCTATAAACAAGTCTGACCGTGACCTGCTGCCAATATTCTTAACCTTTCGTCTGCGAACTCTGATTGATCGTTGTTCCTGCTCTGCGCTGAATTATTGTGGAGAGATGGGAAAGAAGAGGAGCAGAGGTTGCTTCTTTCAGAGAACGTTCTATAATCCTAGGCAAACTAGAGAGGACCTAGGAGCTTCAGGTCTTGCAGTTCGACCCTGCCTAAAATATGTATACTATTTCCCGAGAGAAATTCATGAAAGCTAAAATAATTTACTCTTGAACTGCTTAGGGGTCCAACCCAAGGGTGCCGGAGAAGTTAGTTAAATTATAGGGAACTCATCAAATTTTAAAACCATTTTGTTGATTTTGTTGTTGTTTGTTTACAATTATGGGAGGCAATTACTAACTAATTTAATAATTGCCTAGCTTTTAAAATATATTTAATTAATATTTTGAAATATACGAATTGTTGGAATATTAATTACAAACAGGTTCAATGAATATACCAGTGATGAAAAAACATTTTCTTTAATAGGAACAATTTGTTCATTATCACTTCTTAATTTATTTATATTTTTTAATTTAATTTGTTTTTTTATTTTATTGTTTAAGCGTGGTATAAGGAATGAATATTTTCCCAATTGTTGACAAAAATTAAAAAATATATTTCGTATTGTAGCATTGTAAAACATTAAACTCTGATCCTCCCTACTCGTAGGTAAAGCTACCTCAATCCCTTTTCCCTCTTTAGCGTTACGTAATTTATGGACGATCCCTGAAGGGACAGTTCTCTTCGAAACAACACCGCGCACTGCCACTCCGTCCCGGCAGCACAGCGTTCTCGCTCAGTCACGGCTGTCCCCCAACCATCCCCGCCTCGCCCCTCACTCCCCGCGTCACCCTTCTCTCCGCAACGCTACCACCCTTCCTCTCCCTTTCCGTCCTGCCCCACCTACCACTGCATCTCCTTTCTCTACCTCACCATGCCCTACCCGTCGGGCTTCGCCATGCTCTGTCCGCCCCGCTCCGTCCGCCCCGCTCCATCCGCCCCGCTCCGTCCGCCCCGCTCCGTCCGCCCTGCTCCGTCCGCCCCGCTCCGTCCGCCCCGCTCCGTCCGCCCCGCTCCGTCCGC